TTTTAGCCAAGGTTGGCCTTGATTTCACCAAGTAGCACAGGCTGACCTCACACTCATGACAATCCACCTGGTCCAGTTTTCTGAGTGTTAGGATTACAGGTGTGGCTAGCATGTGGCTATACTTTTTCTTTAGTTTATTTGAGAAGCTTGACCACTTTATGATCTAGTGACCACTGCTCTCTTTTTCCAGGTTGCTCTAGAGGACTATTTGAAGAAAATCCAGCGAGTGGATTTTGACATATTCCACCCGTCTTTACAGCAGAAGAATACACTACTTCCATTATCTTTGTATATTCAATCATGGAGAAAAAGATACTAAATGATTTTATGTACTGAAACTGGATTATTTTTAGTATATTCGTTTAAAAATGTGTGTTTTGGGTTCTTGTTTAGAAACCATAAGCACTGACACGTGTATGTGTGGGGGGGGGGGGGGGGTGTCAACCTGGAGCCAACTGATTCTGCTAGAGTAACTGGCCAGACAGTTTCTTGAGGTCCTCCCATCTCTGCCTCCAAGGCCTGGAGGGATGGGGCACATAGCTTTTTATGTGGTGCTGGGAAACTGAGCTCAAGCCCCTATGCTTTATCCTTTGAACTGTCTAACAGGCATCAGAGCTGGGGAAGGGGATGTAGTGTGTGTGTGTGTGTGTGTGTGTGTGTGTGTGTGTGTGTGTGTGTGTGTGTGCATGTACGTGTATACATGCACACGCACGTGCATGTTATTTTTGCTTTGTTGTTGCTTAGTAGTGCTGGCTCTGGAACCCAAGACTTTGTATATTTTACTACTGGGCTCCACACCCACCTCTGTAAGAGCTCCTAACATCTGAGCCAGCTCCCAGCTCCCAGAGCCAACTTTTTACTTAAGGAAAAAAGGAATTATTGTGTGGGGTCTGTGTTGAAGTTAGTGGCCCATGATGCCACCAGGGCCCACTTGGAGACCTGGGTTCTGGGACACAACCTGTGATCATGTTGAAGTCTGGGAGCCATGCTGCAGCTGGGGCCATACAGATCTGGGCAACCTGTGCTGTCGTTCAGGGCCATGGTCTCGCCCAGGCCTGGGCTGCTGCAAAAGGCTGTCTGGGTCCATGACCTTATAGCAGCCAGTTGTTGTCCATGGCTCTTGTTGCCATCAAGAGCCTGCCCAGAATCAGGTCGACCACATGAGTCCATGTGGGTGTCGAGGGCCCTGCTGCAGCTGAGGGCCATGTCTGGCTCTGTGGCCCTACTGGGTCTGTGTTGATGTCCCAGACTCATGTTACCATTGAAGGTCATGCGTACACCTGAGGTCTTGGGCCATGTTAGTATCTGAGGGCCATGCTGCTGGTGGGGCTGTGTCAGTCTGAGTGGCCTGCACTGCCACCTGGGGCAATGGTGACATCCAGATCGGGCCACTTCCAAGGACCATGTCTGGGTCGATGGTCTCACTGTAGCTGGGATCTGTGTTGAAGTCCAAAGGCCAGTGTTGCCACCAAAGGTCACACGGAAACCTGGGGCCGCAGCCAAAAATTTGTGGCCTTGTTGATGTCAGGACAGTGCCACCACCAGGATGTCATCTGGTCCCAAGCTGCTGCTGTGAGCCGTGTCTGGGTCCATGGTCCTGTTGCAGCTGGTGTCTGTGTCACCTCAGGGGACTGTCTGCCCTTTGCTGACCCCACCTCTTGTTGGACACTGCAGCAATAGAGCTGGTTCCAAGCCTTCCGAGAGATCTGCCCCACCTGTCACCACAGTCAAGGGAACTGACTTTGATGGCATAGGTGTAGGGGAGCTAGCTCCCTGCCCCTTTGCCTCAAGTGGGTGGCCCCAGTGTTTCGGACTGACCAGTTCTGTTACCCAGGCCCACAGCTAGGCCTGGCATTGGCCCACCCTAACATCTACCCCTCTAGGATCTGTTGGAACTCGTGGTTGAAGGGACTAGTCTCCATGACTCAGAGCAGCCAGAAGAGTTCCAGTGAGGATCCAGTGATGATGGTGTGCCCAGGAACCAGTGGTCTTGAGCCAGACCAATGACTCAGTGCAATGAATATTTGTTATTAAAGCTGATTTAATTTGTCACACTTGCTATGTGACACACTGCTCCAGTGCTACCAGGACAAATGAAAAGGCGTTGGAGAGGCAGGAAAGATGGAGAATTGAAGAGGGTTTTTTGTTTTGTTTTTGTTTGCTTGCTTTGTTTTGTTTTGACTTAAAAATTTTCTTTTTGGGGGTCACGGCGGGGTGAAGGGAGGATATGGGAGGACTGGGGGGTGATTGAGATTAGGGTGCATGATGTGAAATTCACAAAAAAATCAAAAGAAGTTGTGTTAAAAGACAAAGCAGCTGCTCATCAGAGTTGGAATCTTACTAGCTTTAGTTCTAGTTGGCCTGGAAGCTTTGCCTTTCTTTTTAAGCCCAGCTAACTGAAGTCACAGCTTCAGTCGTTCAGCATTGCCATGATCATGAATGAAATCGTGTTGGCAGAAACCTGTATTAGTATAAATTATACTAACAGTATTGCATTGAATAGCCATCAAGGGGTTGTGCACTTTGTTTGCTTTTTGCTTTCTTGAGACAGGATCTTACTTTTTAGACTTGGGTAGCCTGAACTTGCTAGGCAGACCAGCTGGCGTTGAACGTCTAGAGATGTGCCTACCTCTGCCTCCTAAGTGCTGGGATTAAAGATGTTACCTCCAAACTCAGCATCGTATGTGCATTTTTTAAAAGTAGTATTCACTAGGCTTCCAAGTGGTAAGCATGGATATATATGATGTATGTTTATATGCATCTGTGTAATTCTCACTTGATCTTAAAAGCTGAAATGACTCCTTTGGTAATTATTAATTGCTTGTTTATTTATTTTTGTTGTTATTTTGAGACAGGGTCTCACTTTGTTGCTCTGGAACTCTCTAACGTAGACCAAGCTGCTCTAGAACTTGCCTCTGCCTCCAGAGTTCTAGGATTAGAGCAGCTAAAATTTAAATTATAAAATACTTACTGGTCACAAAGATTAAAAGTATTTACATGGCTGCTAACTAGCAGATTTGGAATATGAGTGGACGGAATCCTGTGACCAGGATTGTGGTAGGTCCTTTTTCCTGCCTTTTCAGGAATCTTATTGTACCGCTCCCCCACCCCCCCACACACACACTTGGCAGGTGAGTCTTTGTTTTAGCTCTGAATTGCTGTCTGCTTCAATTGTGAGTTAGCAATGGCTTAAAACACCACCTCCCCCTTTTTTTGCAAATAAAATCCAAACAGATTGGCAAGGGCAAGACTACATTGTTTGCCTCATTTTGGCTTCCCCAGTACCTAGAACACCTCCTGATTCACAGCAGGTCAGAGGAGAGATTGTATGCTAGAGCGAGTGTCCAGCGTGCTTGTGTCAGAGGCTTTGGGTTGATACTGGTACTGCAAGAATGCCTTCAGGTTAGCTGACCCTCAGAGGCATGCACAGGGTCAGGACATGGTTCTTTCGTTTCTGAAGGAGATTGGGTTGAAGAGTTCCTGAGTCTTTGTTAGCACTGTGGCTAGTCTTACAAGTTAAATTTGGCAGCAATCAACTGCTAAAAATCCTGGTGCCTGCCTAAGCGTCTTAAAAAGAGAAGCTGAGATACTCGGCTGGATTGTTACAAGGCCCCTGGTGGCTCAGCAAACACTTGAACAGGTTCTGAGATGCTCTTTTTCTTTTTTAAATTTATTTTACATCCTAACCACAGTCTCCCTTCCCTCCTTTCATCCCATTCCTTCTCCCCTCCTTCCTTCTGCCCCCCCCATTCACCCCCTTCTCCTATATGCTGGAATGGTCTTAATTTGATGTTTACAGATTTGATGAACT